TTAACATTTTCTAACACCAAAAATGTATTTCTGACAGGTACCTACCTCATCTCACCCATAGCTATCTTGAACTTCATTTGCCCTCTAAGTGTTGGTTTTACAAAAACACCCCATCTACACAGGGAGCATTGGAGAAGTATACAGATATAGTGCTAAGATATAAAATTCAGCATACCTGATCAGGCAACACCTGCTACTAGGTGGGATGCTGAAATAAGATATATAAGCAATGATAAAAGAGAGAGAGAGAGAAAAAAAAGATGATTTACCCCAGTCACAGGTGAACAGACATGTGTGGAATTGCCACAGGAGGAAGATATCTGCCCGAGGAAGACACTGCAAAACTGTGCAGAGAAAGAGTGATGAAAATATATGGAGTTATCCACATACCGACTTGTAAGATCCCCTCCAAACAATGGTAGTGTTGAGCAGTGAAAGACAGAGTTATATGATGAATAATATGTTGATGACGACTGGCCAGGGACATATCCAAATACGCCAGATGTAGGAGTTGATGAACCCAACCCATGAGCATAATAAGAGAAAGATCAGTGGAAACAGAAAAGACATGGAACAATGAGACAGGAACAAGAACAATGAAAGGAGACAGTACGAGCCAAACAACAGAGCAGGAAACTAAGTGGACAAAGGAGATGATCCAGAAACGAATGGAAATACAGGTGGGAGAAGGAAAGGAAGAAAAGAGGAGAAAAGGCAAAACATCCTATCCAGGCAGCCTAAGTCCACGGAAGGAATGCCAGATCAGGATAAAGAAAAACATATGAGAAATGGTAAAGGATGGCATCAAAATTGGAATGACAAAGTCTGCATACCAAGAGAAGGAGGATTGAGGTTGTAAGAAAAATATCTTACAAGGAATAAATTGCAATGGGTTCAAAAGGAAAACAGACAGGATAGGAAGAATAACATGGAGATCCCAATTCAGCAGAACAAAGGAAACATGAAGGATGGACCAAGTGAAAGAAATGGAACAACCTGGGGAAGAGAAACTTTCTGGAATAGGGAGAAAGGAGGGAGTTTGACAAGGCAGCTCAATAAACAGCAACAGCTGAAACTGACAAACCCTGAACAAACAACCAGATGAAGTGCTGGGACAGGTGAGGAATAGAAGTACAGAAGGAACAAAAGCCCTGAGAAAAAGGCCAAAGACTGAAGCAAGACTTATGCCTCTGGTACACAGACAAAGAAGAAGGGCAAAAGTTGTATGCAATAAAAGATGTGACACAAAGTTGAGGCATGGGACTGGACAAAAGACACACAGAAAGATAAAGTATGGTGATGTTGGGATGAAAAACGACAGATCGAGGTGGATAGAGGAGTAAACAGGACAAAGAAAGGAGCAGGATCTGTTGCTCCATGAAGGGGCGGAGCAGAGGGAACTATGTTGGAACCGGCCAATCCAGAGCAACCAACAGACCACATGAAGAAGAGATCTTGATAAGGAAAAAAGACCCAGAAAAGAAGGAGTCTGAATATAGGATAGGCTTACAGGGGCAAGTCCCTGAGCCGAGACACACGACCGGACAAAAGTCACTCTGAAAGAAGGAGTGTGGAGACGTCTGGTTGAAAAAACCCATCAGATCATGGGTGGCCAATACAGAAGAACCATCAGAGCAAAACAAGGTTTGGTCTGGATAATGGAAAAGACCCAGAAGATGAGTCAACTCGGAGGGTAGGCATATAGTTGAAGACCCATCTGACCTTGACTGAAAGCATATATTTCCACAGCTTAAGTGAGGATCTGAAGACAAAAAGGAAGAAAGTGTGGAATACCAGTGAATGGGAAACACATACAAATATCCAGTGTTCCCAGTTGAGAACACACACCAACAGAAAAACGTGAGGATAAAAAGCCCACTCTGTGTAGGACCAGGTAGGGACATGACATGAGATCGGCAACAAGAATCAGAAGTCGGGGAACATGACCAGCCAGAATAGTCACATCAAGGTCATTGGCCCAGTATACAAAATCGAGAGTCTGACCAGACAGAGATTGGTATGTGGTTTCCCCTTTCTAGATGATAAAGCTGACAATAGTGGAATTGCAGAAAGAATCAAAACCATTCTCCCCTGCAGGAAAGGGAAGAAAGGATATAAAAGCCCAATGAACTGCCAAGGTACCAGGATGTGGAGATGGAGAATAGTCTCCTTGACTGACCACCGACCCAAAACTCAGGAGAATCGAGGAAAATGGGATAGTCCAAGGGATCATGAGGGAAGTTCCACTGGTTGAGAAGTATCTATTGAAGGGAATGCATGTGTGTCCAATCCAAGGGAATGAGCAGTTTCAAGGAAGACCACATCCCAAAAGAAAGAGAGAAGGAGAAGGGATGGCATACGTGACTTTCTACTCAATATCCTGGAGCCAAAGTGAAAAAGGCTGGGCTCGACCAAAAAATGAAGTAGAGAGAACTCCCCAAATGAATAAGACATTGTGAGTGTGTAGTAAAGGAATTCCCCAACCAGAAAAGAAACCCACCTGAGAAGCTTCTCGAAGAAAGAAGTGGATGGGTGTGAGTGACTGACTGGGCACAGAAAGAAGAAAGCAGAAGTCTGTCGTCCATGAAATGCAAGTCTGAAGACTCAAGGAGTGAAGATATATGCAAAAGAGCATACCACTTTGCAAAACACATATAGAGCTGAATAAAGAGAGCCCGTGAGTGCTCAGAACAGGAAGGCACCTAGAGGAACCAAAGAAAAGAATGTGACACTGGGGCATAAAAACCCCACTAAAATGTGAGAGGTGGGACTCCATGGTGAAGCAAGGCAACTGCAGATAAGTATACAGCCAGAACAGATCAAGAAATGGACTTTAAACTCCTGTGTATAGGGAGACAAAGAAAGAAGGGTATAAACTCCAGGTTGAGTGGGCTCCACACATTAGATAGCTCCGTTGTGTAGTAGGACACGAACAGACTGAGCAAGATGACCAGACATGGTACGATCCTGAGAAGGAAGGGAGGAGATCTGGGAAGTGAGTAGAGGGGGAGAAAAATAAAAGTCATAAACCATCATAGAAAACCCCTAAAAGAACGGAACTGTCATGAAGTGTAGCCAAAATGACACATAAAGTAAAGAAATTGAAGAAAGTGCTCAGAACTAATGAACTAACAAAACTTAGGAACGTGTAGACTATAAAAAGCTTAAAGTAACACACCTACAAAACTAAGAAAATCGACCTAAAACATAAAACAATAACTAACACCTAAAGTACAAAACCACTAAAGGGACTGATAAGATAAACGACCCTTGAACATAGAATGTAAAAGTCGACTCAAAGAAACTATAAGACAAAGGACACAAAAAAACGTCTCACGTGCTCGTGCTCGACAATACTTAGTTCAATTACTCACTACCTACATACACATTGTGCATCACGTTGTCACCCTCTTATATATATACCAGACTACCCTATATCTAGTAATCTCCCGAAGATTCGAAAAAAATGAGTGGCGTGACACTAGTCACGTGACCTCGCTGACGCAACAGTATGTATTTCTCACTCCCCTTAGATATACACATATTCAATGAGTTTATGTGAGCTCGCATGTATGGATCTAATTTCCACACTCGATAATTTACGTCATTCATGTTTTCTCTAGCTAGTATTGTGTAAGTTTGAATTTTATACTTCTTTTACTATCTAGGTTACTGTAGTTTACAACTTGCATTTAGAGTTTGTTTCTTGAATTAATTTGGTTTAATATTTTCCATTTTTTTCACTGTTAATGTTAGTTAATTACAAGTTCCTTTTTTTTGTATCTTCACTATTAGTCGCATCTAATTGGGGATACGTTTTGAGTCAACCTTTGTTTTTATTAACTGGGTGCCTTTTTATTCTCATGTTTTTTATGGTAAGTTTTCCCTCGTGTTTGTTATAGAGCGACTGTTGAAGATAAGTGTATAGGTAAAGTTGTATTCAGAAAGAATAAACCAGTTTTATTAAGTAAGGACTTGTGTTGCTAAAGTTTCGTCGGAACGAAGTTACGGAAAATTAATTAACGAACGGAGACGTAACAAATTGGTGTCAGAGAGTGGGATAAAAAAAAAAATGGAAACGAGAAGCGGCAAATCAAACTACAGCCTAGCAGACTTAATGGCGGCAATACAAGAACAGCAAAAGAAACAAGAAGAACGAGAAAATAAACAAGAAGAACGAGAAGAGAAATTACAACAGTTGTTAGAGGAAAAAGAAAAGAAACAAGAAGAACGAGAGAATAAACAAGAAAAGAAACAAGAAGAGAGATTACAGCAGTTGCAAGAAAACCTGCAACAGTGGCAGCTCGAACAATAAAATGAACAAGAGAGATTACAACAGCTATTGGAGGAGAAAGAAAATAAACAAGAAGAGAGACTACAACAGTGGCAACTGGAACAAGAAAGGAAACAAAAAGTACAAATAGAAAACATTAGTAAATTTAAAAGCGAATTAGATACGTTAAAGGTCGATCTATTGTCGTTTACACAAGGAGGATACATTGACCAT